TAGGTTAAAATGCCATAATCTGGCATTTAAAGAGATTTATATTACTGGGGGAAAAAGGGGATCAGCGATGTCATGCATCCATCAGCTTGGTACCAATAAGTCAAAACCAAAAGAGTCATGTCTTGCAGGATGTTTTCAGAACTTGGTGTGAGCAGGAAGCCCGTGATATGAGAAATGAAACTTACACTATATCTCAAAGGAAAGATCTCTTGAAATGCTTCACTGAGGTGACACCACACTGCACTGCGTTCTGCAAGTCCCCATTAGGAATCATATAGCTCTCAACCTGACAACAATAATTACCCACCTCAGACAAGTGGCTACTTACCAGGCAGCTTGTTTCTATTCAGGTCATGAGGAAGAAGTTGCACTACTCACCTACTAATCTAGCAGTGGTTTGCAGGGTTTCTAAATAGATTTTTATCTACATATGGGATTATTGTCTAAAGTCCCTGGCATTTGGCTATGTCTCTAGGAGAAAACCAAGTCAGTTCTGATATCCCAGATGAAATCCCAGTTCTCCCACTGAGCAGCAGTGCGGCCTTGGTCGAGTCATGAGTGCTGAGGCCTCAGATTCATCATCTATAAAACAAGTTTTCCATAGGGTTGTCATGAAAATTAAATGAAAGAACCTACGTCAGAACCTGACATACAGTAGCTGATGATCAGAAATAATTTCTCTTCCTTCCTCTTGACTCCAGAGTGGAGTGAGCAATTTTTGTGGGGGGTGGGGGGTTCTGTAAATGACCAGGTAGTAAATATTTTGGGTATGCAAGTCATTGGTCTCTATCACAACCACTCAACTCTGTCATTGTAGCACAAAAGCAGCCACAGATGATGAGCACAGCTGTGTTTCAATAAAACATCATTTTAAAAATTAGGCATTTGGGCCAGATTTGGCCCATAACTTATAGTTTGCCAACCCTTGTTATTTATACGACATATATCCAGATATCACACTAATTTTTCATCATTCTGTTTGATTCCATCTGCTCCAAATATGTTCTTCCCTCCTTTTTTTATTTATTTTTTTAATAATTTATTTTATTTTTCAATTACAGTTTACATACTACATTAGTGTCAGGTTTACAACATAGTGATTAGACATTTATATAACTTATGAAGTGATCATTCCAGTAAGTCTAGCACCCATCTGACACCATTAATAGTTATTATAATATTATTGACTGTATTTCCTATACTTTACATCCCCATGACTGCTTTTATAACTGGCAATTTGTACATCTTAATTCCTTCACTTCTTCCACCCAGCCCCCAACTCCCCCGAATCTGACAACCATCAAAATATTCTCATGGGTTTTCTGTTTTCTCTATTTATTTTGTTCTTTATATTCCACATGTATGTAAAATCATATGGTATTAGTTTTTCTCTGATTTATTTCACTTAACATCATACTCTCTGGGTCAATTTGTATTGTCACAAATGGTAAGATTACATTCTTTTTACTGCTCAGTAATATTCTATTGTGTGTATGTACCACATCATCTTTATCCATTCATCTATCAATGGACATCTTGGCTATTATAAATTATGCTGCAATGAACATAGGAGCGCACGTATCCTTGCAAATTAGTGTTTTGGGTTTCTTCAGACAAATACCCAGAAGTAGAATTTCTGGGTCAAATGGTAGTTCTATGTATTCTTTGACTTTGTATCAGAACAAATGAGTCTAGTTCAATGGCTTGATTTAGTTTTTCGCTTTTAATTTTGAGGTCTTGAGAAGCTCCCATGGAAGCTGAGCACCCAGACCCGAGATGCTCCATTACTTTATCTACACAGAGATCCCGAGGAAAGCAGCTGTATTTGAACAAGCGCTCAACCCCAACTGAGAGACTTGAAAAGAACTCAAGAGTTAACTGAGGCATTTTTATTTACAGAGAAGGATAGGTTACAACTTATTTCCCAGATTTTAAAACATTGCTCAATAAATGTTTGCATGTGCTTGTATATGTGTAAAGAACTTCTTAAAGAACATAACAAAAAACAACAGTGATTACTTACGGTGAAGTGGGAATGCAAAGTGACAAAGATCCTAAAGGCTGAGATGAGCTTTTAGAGGCCAGCGGGAATGGAGTGAAGTAATGGGAAGAGCAGTTAGAAATGAGCTGAGAGGGGAAATCAGGGAGCCAGTCCACATGGGACCTCTGAATGTGATGGAAGCCAGTGCAAGGTGACATGATCTGATCTGTGCTTTAAAAGGATCACTGTGGCTGCTGTGTTGAGGACAGACTGCAGTGGGAGCAGGATGGAAGCAGAGAGGCCAGTTAGGAGACCACATCAGTATCGGGGCCGGAGAGGATGGTTGGTGGCTAGGACCACAGTGAGAGTGCTAGAGAGGAAGAGAAGTGGCCTTCTGCACTTACCAGCTGTGAGGCCTTCAGCAAGTTTCCTAACTATGTTCTGCCTTAGCTTCATCTGAAAAATTCCTTCCATCCAGGACTTAAGCAGAATATAGCATAAAAGCTTTTGACGCAGATCCAAGAAGTGCCTCTCCAAGGAGTTGCCATGGATGCCCACCCAGGGAACAAATTCTAATTGCTTCAGTATGGCCATCGGGGCCTTGAGGCAGCTGGGTCTATTAAACATATGGAAACTTTCGCAGTTTTCAGATCACAGACCTTCCAGTCAGGACAGCATTCCATGTACCCTATTATCATTCTTATTCCCACATCCTACCTCTGCATTTCAGTTTATTCTTCTCCTACCTGAAATGCCCACCTTCCTTTTCTTTGTCTAAATTCTAGCATATCCTTTAAAGCCCTACTGAAGGCTTAAGATTTCACAAGAACTTCCCCACTCCGCAGATATTATTTCTTCTCTACAATACTACAGTACATATATATGCAGTCCATATCGATCATTTCCTTATGCAGAGACATGGGAGCACTTAATTAATAGCATGCATTCTAGAGCAGACTGCCTGACCTCTCAGCTTCAGTCTCCCCATCTGTCAGATGGTATATATATATATATATTAGGGTTATTGTGAGGATTTGAAAACTAAATGCTTCGTGAAAACAATTATTAATACATGTTATTATTTTTGTATATTGCCATTAACTTTCCCCTCTTCTTTATGTAACTTCATTTTCTTTCTACACTTCTTACACTTTCTTATTTCTTTTCTTTCTTCATTATTCTGTCCACATGTACTACAAATAGTCCCCCCTTACCCACGGTTTCGCTTCCCATGGTTTCCATTATCTGCAATTATTGTCCAAAAATATTAAATGGAAAATTTCAGAAATAAACAATTCATAAGTTTTAAGTCACACATTATTCTGAGTAGTGTGATGAAATCTCACTCCATCATGCCCAGGATGTGAATCCTCCCTTTGTCCTGCGTAGCCACACTGTGATACACTGCTCGCCCGTCAGTCACTTAGTAGCCATGTGGGTTATCAAATTGACTTGCACGGTACCACAGTGTTTGTGTTCAAGTAACCCCCATTTTACTTAATAATGGCCCTGAAGCCCAGAGGAGTGATGCTGGCAATTCAGATATGCCAAAGAGGAGCCCTAAAGTTCTTTCTTTGGGTAAAAAGAGGAAAGATCTCTACTTAATAATAAGAGGAGAAAAAATCAGATGCTGGTTTACTAAAATCTACAGTAAGAACAGATCTTCTATTCATGAGATTGTGAAGAAGAAAAAGAAATCCATGCTATTTTTGCTGCCATACCTCAAACTGCAGAAGTTATTACTCCAGGGCATAATAAGTATTTAGTTAAGATGGAAAAAACATGAAATTTGTGGGTGGGTGACATGAACAGAAAACATGTTCCAACTGGCAACAATGGGTTGCACCAGAAAGCATTGAGCATATACCAACACATTTGCAAGGGATTCCCCAAAATGAGTGACACTAAGTCATTTACTGAAAGTTAGTGATGGTTGCAATAAGATATTCTGAGAGAGACCACATTCACATAACTCTTAGTACAGAATACTGTTATGATTGTTCTATTTTATTATTAGTTATTGTTGTTAATATCTTACTGTTCCTAACTTATAAGTTCAATTTTATCATATGTACAATACGTATAGGAAATATATAGTATATAGGTTTGGTACTATCTGCAGTTTCATATATCCACTGGGCGTCTTGTAACATATCCCAATGGATAATGGGGGGACTACAATATACTTTATCCAGTGTCTTAAATCACATCCTATACTATGAAGCTCAGTCCTGAGAATTTTGATGTCTGTCCTTAAAGATTTCACCACATCTAATAATTCATTCTAAAAGTACAGATTTATCCAAAGTTTCAACTCTTCATCTCAGAGCCCATAGATGGTACAAAGTATAGGTAGCATGGTTATTAACCAGAGGCCTCAAAGACGAGGAAGACTGAAGAAAACAAAGTTTCCCAAAAATTAGAACCATCTGGTTTATCTCTACAGGAAGTTAATATTAGAGGTATGGAAGCTATTCTATGGTTAGAACAAACAAATCGAAAAGCACGGAGGGTAACTGGAATATTCTATTCTCATATTCCTGACATAGTGGTGCGTGCACAGCTACTGTCCTACTTTATTTTGTACTCCACCCAAGGGGGTCCACCGTCCCTTAAGAGCCACGTTAGGTCTGAGCAATGCCAACAAGAACTCTATACTATGAAGGGGTACCTAAGCTGAAGCACTGGCAAGGGCAGTTCCTAATGAACACTCTCCGTCACAACGCCGTGATCACTGTGCCTTTTTCTTTTCTTTCTGTAGGGAATCAGTATGTTTACAAAAGTAGCAGTGCATTTCATAACGGGTGGGAGTGAGTTGAACTTTTCCCAGCATTTTTTACCAAAAAGCAGGTAAGATAAGAAATCTTACCATTGACTATAGAAGTGGGGGGGTGAGTGGAGGAGGCAAGTGGAGAGGGACAAAGGGGGGAAAAATTGGACAACTGTAATAGCATAAACAATAAAATATTTTTAAAAAATAAAAAAAAAGAAATCATTCAGCTTAATTAGACCAGCTTACCTCTATTTTTTCCCATATGGCTTCATAGTTGTCTTGGTGTTGAATATCTTGCATAAGTTTCTGAATTAAAGCCGATTTTGTGACAGAACGGCTTTCCTTTTTCTCAGAAGATGAAGCTCTCTCGGACTTCTCATCAGCGTATTTTTTCATGCCAGAGAGAGGCATACCCAGCTCCTCATCCGAAGGAATGTCACTCAGGGGCCCAGATTCAATGCTCTCCCCCAGGGAAGAGGCTATGTCACTGGATGAGCTTGGAGACACCCTGCCCAGCCTTGTATGTTTCTTCTTTATGTGGTATGTTGGATACATCTCGGAATCTGAATTCATTTCAGACAGTTCCCAGTCATCTATATTCTGAATGGTTTCTCTTCTGGGTTTCTGAGGCAGAAGCTTTGTTAAGTTTTCCAACTTCAAAGCTAATACTTCTGTCTGCTTAAGGTGAGAGGGCAGTGCCAGGTATTCGTCAGAGCCATACCAGGCCTCCATAACCCGGCCATTCTTTGTGATGTGGCTTGGGGAAGAGGAGTAACATTTTTTGCTTTTGTGTTTTGAAAGACAGGGTTCTGGAGATATGACGTTGTCTGAGCCAACAGGGGATTTGCTGCTGTGAGTAAAAGGTGGTGAACTGGATGTTGCTGACTGCACTGGTAGTTTGGTATTCCAGCTTCTTTGATCGCACAGCTCAAGTGAGGATGTGGAAGCAGAATCTGTTCCTGGCCTCTCCGTGGCCTTGGAAGTACAAGAAGGAGTTCCATTTGGCACCACGGAACTCCTTGTGTTTTCTGTTTGCTTGCCTGAATCGGTTCCCCCTTTAGGTGTTTGGCATGGAGGCACCTCTTCTGGGGTCTTATGTGGCTTTTTAAGTCGAGGTTTCTCATTATGGCAGTCGTTAAGCCTTCCCAGGCTGGAGGAGATTTCTTTAAGGTGACCTTTGACTGTGTTTTCAAGATACTCATCCCCCATCTTGTGCAAACACTCGTAGGACTGGCTGGAAGCAGAAGGGCTGCTGGGGTAGGAAGACTGTAACACTAGGCAGAGCTTGGATCTGTCGGGCGGATCCACCAGAGAAGGGGTGCTTCTGCTCATCTCAGGCTTGAGATCTACCATCTGCTTCTTTCCATCAGCGCCTTTCAGATTTTGCTTAAATTTTTCTTCTTTAAGGAAAAGCCCTCTTTTTGGCAATGTGGGTTGCGTGGGAGAGTCCTCGTTGTAATTAAAGCAATCTCTGATGGATCGCTTGGGGGTTGCATTTTCACAAGGAGGAGGCTGTTGGTTCTTTGCTCCAAGTTGGGAGGAGGGATTGGATTCCTGCTTTGCAGTCTCAGAAGAGGGTGGGGCAGCATTTGTCAGAGCTTCCACTGAAGAAGATGTCCCCTGCACTAAGCCTGGTTTCTCCTCGACTGCAGAAGCACTGTTTTCCTCACATCCACCTTCATCACCTGCTGAAAGGGATACTTCACTGCAGTGGGAAGGGATGGGGTCAGTAGCCACCGTAAGTAACCCAACACTTCGGATGAGCTCAGGGAACTCCTTTTCCATCTCACTGTAGCTCCAAGAGTCAAAGGGTTTGGTTTTGACCGGGCCAGATGTCATGTCACCCAGGCCACCGAGCAAATCCTCACTTGGACTGTAGTCAGACAGTTCAAATGCCGTAATACCACAATCCAGAGACAAGTAATTTTGAGAGCATTTGATAGTTAGCTGTCCTGAGTCATCCACTTCCGTTAGAGAATCCAGCCGGCCCTGAGACAGACAAAGGTGATGGTTTCAGTAAATGGAACATCAATTACACTCAACTGCAATTCAAATGAAATCTCAGCAAAGGCTGCTATAAGGTAAAAAAAAATGCATCAGGCTCAGTTGCTTCTGGCTTGACATACAGAATGGCATATTATCAATTACCATATTGCTTTATATTGATATAATGTGCTGTTCTTAAATATTTAAGGATTTTTCTTTAATCTGGAGAAGAGAGCCTCGATAGAAATGGTCATAATCAAGTCCAAAATGTCCATTCTTGCCTTAATGTGCTATCTTAAAGTAGTGTATTCTTCATTTAACAAATGTTCCTTAAATAATGACTTAAGTAAATATAAAATTTCTGGGAACAAATTAATGTAAGAGTAGAACCTCTATGAATGTCTCTTGCGCTTATTGCTATCACTCCATCACCTACCACAGTGGCTAACTCATAGTAGATACTCAATAAATATTTTTTTAAAGTGGAATAATAAATTGTACTAAATCTGTCATGTTAAATATACAGGGTCCTGCAGAAGTGACACCCGCTTGAGTGTGGTTGGTAGGGTAATAATTGGGATGTAATAATTTAGTTTTAACTTGAACATTTCACCTAAAATGTCATATGCTGTGCTTGAGTGTGATGTTATGTTACAGAATGACATGCTTATGATTTTGTGCTAAAATATTTTGTAATTAAAAAGGGGCATTATTTGTGTCAGACCCTGCTGTGGTCTGACAGGAAGGTGAACTACGTAATTTGCATATATAACAAAATTACAGGAAGGTGAACTACGTAATTTGCATACATAACAAAAACAGTCCAAGACCAGCTTCTGTTTCTCCTCACTCATTTGAAGGTAAACACACAAAATCCTGAAGAAAATTGAGTATCAAAACGTTATCACTCCTCATGCATTTCTCTCCCCACCTCCTCATCCCCCTGCCCCCCTCCCATTTGTGCATGTCTGATACAAAGTGCCCACCTCCATTGCTGTAATCTGAGGTAGGCCAGTTTGAAACTCCCCTATGCTAAACAAAAATAGTATTACAAGTAAGTACTTTTAATTTTTTTATGTTTAATTATGGGATTATGTTTTTTGTCTCATTACTAAAGCAGTTTCTGATATCACACAGCAAATGAGATTTTTGACCGATGATTTGTTTGGGACAAAAGTGGCCCTGGAATCCTATTATGTGTACGAGGCCAAAAAGCAGCCTGGTCTAATCCAGTCCCTTAGGAGATGAAGGAAGGAAAACAAACCATTTTATCCCTAGACCTCCTTTCTCCTGGAGGAGAAACTAGGTGAGTAAACTGAAGCCAGGCCTCCTATGGCTGCTGGACCCTGTGTCCTTTCAACCAGGTTTTCCCAATATCTGGCCTCTTTAAGACTTTACAGTAGGTTTTCCTGTTCATTTGCATGTTTTGTTTTGGAAGCGTTCTCTTCCTTCAGACCTTTACTTTGCCTTTATCTCCTATTTCCCTCACTCACACTCTGCAACACCCAAATAAATAATGATGATGAAAAGCTTTACTTCACTTTTTTAAGGCTCCTCTATAAATGGGGATGATTGATTACTGCTATTATTTTTTTCATTTAAACCTCCCACAACTTCTTTTTGGGGTGGGGTCTATATTATTGTCTCTATTTTATATAAACAGAGCCTGAGACAAAAAGAAAAAAGAAAAAGAAAAAGAAAAAAAAAAGAAAGAAAAAGAAAAAAAGAAAAAAGGTGCATAGCTAGCAGATGGCCTTGAACTAAGAGCTGGGTTAGACCTTAAACAGAGGCCTGACCCAGGGTCCACCCTCTGACCTCTGTACCATAGTTTTCTGTGATTCACTGGATATTCTTTTAAACTGGCATACCCCCTCCTCCAGTTTGCTCTCCACATTGCCACCGGAGTAACCTCTACAAATCTGTTACTGTTAATTCTCTACTTAAAGTCCTTTGTTAGCTTCCTGCTGCTAGGTTAAAAACCCAAACCCTTCCAAGGACAAACACAAACAAGCCTCTCTCAAGCCTCTCTCTCCTCCCTGGCTTCACTTGACCACAGTGCCCTCCTTTCAGTTTTTGAACACACTGTGTTCCTCCTGTCTAGGGCCTTTGCACATGCTATTTCCTCTGTCAGGAAAGCTTTTCACCTATGATATCCTGTAACTAATGGACTCTTACCTCTCAGATCTCAGGTCAAGTTGCACTTCTTCAAAATTCTAAACTCCCACCTAAATCAGAATGTCTTCTTATAGGCTCTCCTAAAACTATGTTGTTTTTCCTTTAAGCATTCATCTCAGTCTTTAAATATATACGACTGTGATTATTTACCATGTTTCTCCCACTAGTTTGTATGCACCGCAACAGTATAAATCACATAGAAAATAACTGACTCACCAGGATACCTGCAACACTTAGCATACTGATGTGCATAGACCAAGCTTTCAAAGACACATCTGTTGAATAAATGAATGAATTATGACATTTTGGAATGTGTCACTATGCCTTCATGTAATTTCTTCCTTTGATTATGTAGTTTTAGTTGACTCCAGTGATGAAAAGGCCGTGCTCCGAAGTCAAAATCTACCTCTAGCATTAATTAGCCATGTGACCATGACCCAGTAGCTTAGTGTCACTAAGCCTCATTTCCTACATCTGTAAAAAGGAAATGGTAAGTCCTGCCATAGGGCTGCTGTGAAGCTTAAAAGAGATAATACATGTAAGATACAAGTCTGACACATAGACAGGTGCTTAATGAATGTTCACTCCTCTCTCCTTTCTCTCTTTCAAATCACTATTATTATAATATTTTTACTATTCAAACATATTTGGGGAGAAATTTTTCAAAAATATTTGGGGAGAAATTTTTTATCAAAATGAGAGGCATCCCTATTCTAAATTATAATGCACAAAGTGAGAAAACAATATTAACTGCCAAAATTACCTAAATAGAAATGTGTGGCTTATATGCTTCATACCTGAACCATGATCTTTAAATAACGGAGTCAGAAACCAAAAAACACGAAGGGATGAGGCAGCCAAATAAAGTCACACTTTATACAATTTTTACGAATGCAATGGTAGAGCTCTGGCCGGGTGGCTCAGTTGGTTGGAGCCTCATCCTGTGCACCAAAATGCTGTGGGTTTGATCCCCGATCAGGATGTGTATGAGGAGGCAAACAGTCAATGTTTCTCTCTTGCACTGATGTTTCCCTCTCTCTCTCTTTCAAATCATTAAAAGCATATCGTCACGTGAAGGTAAAAAAGAAAAAAGAAAGTAATGGTGGAAATTCCAATTTAAAGGTAGGTTGTATTATTTTTTTATTTTTTTTAAATTTAACTGTTTAGTATTCAGAACTTACTCCTTTATAAACAAAGTATTATAAATGATGGTTAAGTTCCAAAGTTATCCCATTAGTTGGTATTTAAATTACTAACCAGTTGAAATTTGCATTATTTTTTATCAGATTTATCGTAAAGGTACAGCACTGCAGCTACGTGAGTGAGGCTAGAGGCATTAAGAAAAAGTGTTTCTATAATGGGTAGAGAAAGAGACATTTGAGAGTTCAGGTAAAAATTAGTCCCTGGAAGTGTCAGCCACCTGTTTCTGGATAGGCTTGGAACACAGTAGCCTTGGGAAAGTATTTGATCGCCATGTTCACAGTCACAGAACCTTAAGACCCAGGAATACTGTCTTGCCTGAAAATAACAGGCACTTAATAAATGATGTCAGATAAATAAACGACCTGAGACTACATATCAGATGATAGGGTACGGCTCCCTTCTCCTGTGTCTTCCCCTGAAGATCCCCTCCCTATGCAGTCCTTCGTTTGGAAAAGAAAACACTATCCTCAAAAACCATGCCCCCAAATAAGCCCTCTCCCATCCTGTTTCCAGGTGAGAAGGAGAAAAGAATTATTATTACAACAGAAAACAGTTAAGAGCTGGTTTTGTTTGTTTTATTTGATTATTCCTAGATTTATAGCCTTATTTACCTACAAAGCATTCACTTTCCATCTATGAACTGCAACTGTTTTTAACATCTCTTACCCTTCTTAATAAATGAAACAATAAATATAATAAAATGCTTGTCACAGTAACTGAAATATAGAACATTTCAGTGTAACACATTTTTTTACACAATGTTGAGCTTTGCCCCTAAGGGTTTTTCATTTGTTTGCTCGTTTGGTTTGGTTTGGTTTTAGTAAGGTGTTTGTTAATTTGCTTGCAAGATATGATCTGCTCCATATTTAAATAAAAAAATTAAAATCATATATTTTGTTTTCTCAAGGACAGGAAGGGTGAAAACTTGCTACTTTCTTGTCTTTCAAACTTACTCTTTAATGTGGCTCTGAAACTCAACTAACTTCCAAGAAAAGAAAATCGGATTCACCTTTATTGGAAGGACATCTACTATTCTAGCTTATCAGCATGTTTTGTGCCATTCCCCTCTTCATTCTACAAATCTTTCACAGCTGAATTTATTCTGATAAAGCCAAGAATTTTATCCTAACCCCCTTCCTTTTTTCCACAATTCCAATGTGGAAACAAATAAAATTAATCAGTCTTTGAAATAGGATCAGGGATCCACAGCTTCAGGAAGGATGATAATGGAGACAGTGTTTCTATTCATTGAAAAATATCCACAAAACAGATGGCTAAGAATCCACTGTTCCTTCATTCCTTGTACAACAAATTGTTGCATCTTTTTGACAAGAAGAAAGACTGACTTCAAACATGAAAATACATAAAATTATTTCCAATCAGTCTGTAAATAATTGTTGAGCTCACATTGTGGGAACCATAATAGATGCTACTTACTTGCAACATAGCTGTGAAATTAGTTAGCCTCAATGGTTTTTCATCATTCCTTGGGATACCACTTCATGAATGATATGAGTTCAAATACATGCATGATAAACATATTTCATAAAGCAATAATAACAATGAACAATAAACTGTAGAGCACTCATATATCCCCAGCTCTCCTACAAGGGTTGGCAATCATTAAATGGTTATTGAATGAATAAATATGTAACATGAATTGGTTTGAGTCAATGATTTCTACTGTCCCTTCTAGTAGTAGAAAGCGGGCAGATCTGATGCCTGTTGAATGCTGGATGCTGGGCAGAGCCAACAGAACACACAAGAGGCGGGGGCGGCGGGAAGGATGTATACATCAGAGACGCCAGGTAGACATCTAAAGAAAGCTCTCTTCAGAATTTAGACAAACCTTTCCCATCTATGATCTCCACCTCATAGGGACCAGATTTAGCACTGAGTAGGCCATTTGGAATTCTTTGAAGGATCCTAAAGGCACAAGAGTACCAATCAAGGACCCTCTAGGGATCCTACTGGGGAGGACTGGCATCTGGGGGCTGATACCCCCCACACACACACATATTCATCCTATGATTTTCAAAGGACTCTACCAAAGTCTGTCACCTCCCTCACTGCCACAGTAAAAGGGAAAGTTAAATGAAAACAAAGACCATGACTTAATGTAAGAAGTGAGCCTAATAGATTTTGATTCCCATATATTTCCAGGGCCTTCAGGGAGTTTGCCACAGCAAGAACATCATTATTATGAAAACAATAATCAACAAGTAAAATTCATTTATAAAAATAGGCACAGACTTGTTCTACTTGATAATGTTGAAGCCATTAAAACATTAATAAATTACTGAATTATATAGCACTCTTTGTAAGGCCTTTTAATCTTATATAGTCATACAAGTTCTTTTTTGAACTTGTAAAAGTACATATATTCCAGAAAACTAACCGTGGAACATTCAATGGGTGTCAAGATCCAAGGGACTATATACATACACCCACACTTTGTATATGATATATATGTACGTATGCATGCATGTATGTATCTACATACCTACCTACTTTATCAATTTATCTACCCCCCTACACACAGAGCTCCTGCTAAATTAACTACCACAATGCTTTGCTCTATACGCTATGACTATTTTATTTGGGAATAAAAGAGTTCATCTGGATTCAAATTTACAGTGTTCATTCTTAAGCCATGCATCAAGACTAACAATAACAAAGTCTTTAAAGTACATTTAATATAGTGAAGAAAAATCTAAATTTATTCATTGTATAAAACTCTAAAGTTAATTTGACTCACTACATCCAGAATTTTTTTCTAAAGCATGAATCTAATCATGTCAATTCCCTGCACACACTGTTTTGTTGTCCTAAAAATAAAGCCCCGTTCTCTTAATACAGTTTTTTAATATGCCTTTTCATCTTCATGATCTGACCTCTGCTTACTTACAATATTAGTTCAAAGCCTGGTTCCTCGTTCCTCGAATTTTTTGCTCCAGTTTTATCTATAGCTCTACGAGCCTGTCTTAGCTGAGGGCCCACTTACAGCCTCGGCTCCAGTGTATGGAACAAACTACTTACTAACAACTTTATTTTCTCTCTGTTTGGGTCATTCAGACTGGCCAGCTGCTTGCTTGCAGCTTTGTGCTCATATGTGTTTCATAAATAAACTTGTTGTCTCATTTCCACTATGCATGTTGTCTCTCATTGGAATTCATCTCTTGCAAGCAAGACAAGAACCAAGGAGAAGCGGGGAATCCCCTGACTCGGGTTTCCCTGGTAACATACCTACAAAGAATTCCTACCCTCCATTTCTGAACTGAAAACATTTTCAAATGGTCACACTTGACAAGGCATTCATTATTTGGCTTCAAAGGAAATACCCACCTCTGTTGTCTCTTCGGAGAAAGCTTGCAGAATGTCCGTCTGCCGGGTGTAGTTGCCATTGGCGTCCTGCAGACCCTGCAGAATGCGCTCCCGCAGGACCAGTACCGACACTCGGAGCTGGTGCCAGAGGAGCTGCACCGCGTGGATGTCCACGATCACATTGACAGAGTAGGACAGCAGCTTCAGGGAGAATTCAGTCTCAAGGAGGGCATGGATTTGTTCAACATGATCAGAAATATCTTCGCAAATGTCCTGCAGTAAAAAAAAAGGGGGGGAGGGAGGAATATGATGACTACTGTGCCTTATCCTAGGGAAACAGCAGTTAAAAAAAAGTCTCTCCTTCACATGACACCAGTTATCAGGGCCAGCAGGTCAGGTGAGCGCACGTTAGATAGCTGGCCTTTGTTTTCATTCACTTACAGCTGCAGGCTGTATTCCTGGGCACTGGGCCTTTTGTGCACACAGGTAAGGTGATATTTTTCTAGGCCACAAAAATTCTATTCTTTCAGATACCAAAATTGAAAGTTCAGCCAAGGTGAGAGGTCACCTCACAAATCCACTCTCTGTTCTCTTTATTTACTATTTGTGATTCTGACAAGCGAGCCAACAGCTACCCTTTTTGCTAGTGGTGAGCTTCATTGGAGCACACAGTACATCAGGATAGAAGCATCATCCAGACACCTAGCATGAAGAAAGATGGACTATAATCTATGTTTTGTAGCATCTCCCAGCCATTCTCTGAACCACAGGGTTTTTGATGTAAGAAACAATAGTCACATTCCCACAGGAACACAATTTAATTCTTAAATTTATAATGGATATCTAAATTTGATACCATACTTTGCAAGTAGAATCACTCTTAAGAAGGAAAACCAGAGAAACCTTGAGGATGAAGAAACACAAAATACAGCTTTATTTTGTTTTTATGGCCTAGACAATTTAAATTAAAACATTAATAGGCCCCAGCCCAGTAGCTCAGTTGGTTAGAGTGTCGTCACAATATACCAATATTGTAGGTTTGATCCCCGGTCAGGTACACAGGAAAATCAACCAATGAATGCATAAATAAGTGAAAAAACAAATTGTCTTTCTTTCTCTCTCTCTCTCCCCCCTCCCTCCCTTCTTACCTTCCTCTTCCTGTCTCTCTAAAATTAATAAATAAAAATAGGCAAAATATCTATTGAATAATGGTACAGAATTGCTCTGAATTTTGAATAATAATTATTGTACAATTCTAGTAGCTCCAATGTTAGTTCTTGACACCCAAGAACTATTGGTGATAGTGATACAAATTGGTGATTATAAAGAGGGAGAAGAATACCAGGTGTAAAGGCATTAGTGTGGATGTGGGAAAAAACAGTGTTTTAGGTCCTACACTGTCAAATAAGTAGTAGTGGTAGAATAATTTCATGAGTTCTAAACATAAGTGGCGAATCCACATAGTGTGTAGATTTATGCAAGCTTTCAGGTCAGTAGGTCACAGCAGAGGAGCGGTCCACTGGAATTCAGAATTTAATTTAAAGAAATATATGTGTATATTATATAGAATTTACACATGTGGCAGACTAAAGCAGGGAATCCTGGGCACTAAAATCTCATATGTATATATAAGTTTGTGTATATATAAGTTTGTGTATATATAGGTATTATACTGGGTGCTGGGGACAGAGAAGAATAAAACAGCATTACCCTCAAGAATCTTCTAGTCTACTAGCCACAAACTGCCCCCCGCCACACACACATTGCCCACAGCAGGCCCCTGCATGTGTCCAGACAGTATGGAAGAAAAGCATTCACAGAAGAAACACAACAGGAGCTGGTATAAACCATCCCAACTTAGGAGAAATCAAATAGTAACCATCAAATGTTTCATGTTAACTTTTTATGTGAAGAACAGTTCATTAGAATCATGTACCTAATTAATAAATTATATTTAAAAATTCCTTTAAGCCTGACCAAAAAAAAAAAAACTTGAAAGAGATGAAAACTTTAAACTAACTAGACTTTGGAGTCCTAATTATGTAAAGTTCTTGCAAATGTGGCCCACAAGCACAGGCAGTCCAAAAGAGATCTGGGGCAAAAAGTACATTACCTTATAAACCAGCACAGGGGAACCAATCACAGTCATTGTTAGCCGTCTCTCTGCTGACCGTCCGCATAAGAAAGCAGGTCTCTAACTGCCACCATGAGATATCCATACTGCCCCTAGTCTCAGCTAATGCATGCTTAGAGCATCTACTCTTTTTATCCCCCATACCTGGGATTCCTGATACCTCAATCACCTCACAACGCAGGCTCTGCATCATTTGCCTTCTTAGGATGGTCATTTCTGTGGAGTACTGCGTTGCCTTGGAAAACTGCCTTCCTCTCACTGCTGGCCACCTCCAAATTCTCTGTACTTTTCTGGTCAATATGCCCATTCCCTTGTGAAAACCCTTCTTAATAAGAAATACGTGAATAATTACATCTACCTTGTGGTCTCACCCAACTCTCACTCTGCCCAAGGATCTTGCTTTCCTGTGGCCCCCCCAAGGGATGCTGCCTATTATCCAGGTCTCACCTGAAAGATGGACAGGTAGGGCAGAGGGGGAAAGGGCAGGCCTCAGTGCTTCCTTGCTACTTTCTGATCACTACTCTTTTGCTCTCACACTAACTACCTTCTTTTCTAGCAGGTGCCTACTAGCTTTACCTACTTAAAATCTCCCGTGATTCTACATGGATTTCAGTTATTCCCTTATATCTTTTCCTTCTGAGAAAAAATAAAATGTTCTCCGGCAAGCTCATTTAGATGTCTAAATCAAGAGATGTCTCAAAGACTAGCCAGCTGCTTGCCAGCAGCTTTTAATATAAAGTGAAGATAGTTTTTAAACGTCCTTCAAGCAATAACATTTTTACAGATCCTCAAATTGTCCCTAGGCCAACCCATAATTACTAAGGATAGAAGGAAAATGTCTTTAGGAACTAATTACTTCTGTTTTTGCAGCCAATGCTTTGAGCACACAAAGGACCATAACTCCAGAGCCCACCCCCTGAAGTTCCCTGACTGGTGGGAAGATCAGTGTTCGCAGAGGCTGCACCGATGAGAAGGAAATAACTGTGCGCATGGGGCAAAGAGCAGAGGGAGAAAAACACTCTTTTAAGTAAGTAAAGTTTGGGTCAAAACTCAACAATAAGGAAACAACCAACCCAACTATAAAACAGGCAAAAGATCTGAACAAAGAATCTCAGTGGATATAATGGCAAATAACCACATGAGGAAAACATTCAGCCTCATTAGCCATCAGGGGAATATATATTAAAACCACAGTGAGATACCATTGTGTACACCTCTATTAGAATGACTAGAATTAAAAATAAATTACGAAATGCTGATGAGTTCCAGAGCAATTGGAACTCTCTTACACTGCTGCTGGGGATGCAAAATGATACAGTAGCTACAGAAAACAGTTTAACAGTATCTTCTGAAGTTGGTCATATGCTGAGAGTAGTATAACTGAGTGATTCCATTCCTGGGTGCTCACATTAGAGAAATGAAAGCTTAGGTATACACAAAAAGGAAAAGAACCTCTACTCATAGTCTCAAAGGGTTACACAGTGTATATTTCCATTTATATGAAATCCTCAAAAGACAAAAGCACAGTGATGAAGAGCAGAGGAGTGGCTGCCAGGGACTGAGGGTGGGAGAGCACGACTGTAGACTGGCAGCACGAGGGAGTTTTCTGAGGTGATGGAACTGCCCTGTATCCCATTGTGGAGGTGGTTATACAAATCTACACATGGGTTAAAATCTGTAGAACTGCATATCAAAAAATAATGTTTATAAATTTTTGTAATTTTTGTAATTTTTCTATATGATAGTCTTAAAAATAACAATAGAAAAGAAAACCAATTTATAGTCTGTTATTAAAACGCATGTGAACATTTGTTTTGGGTCACACATTCCTTTCAGATTCTTGGAAATTACAAGTAGCACACTCTTAAGGCCACGGCACTACAATCATTAGGCCTCATTCTATAATTTCCACATGATCTTCAGACAAGTATAAAAGAAAATGAGATTAATCTGGAGCCCATCTCAAAGCAAATAACGATGGTTAACAATCTCTCCTCAAAATTGCGTAGGATTTTTTCTGTATATTTTACTATGTTAATGAGAGAAAGTGATACCCTCCATTGTCTTTTGTAATTCACATATAGCACAGTAGCCCCTGTAGCCTTCAGAATTACTCACAGCATAACATTCACTGGAGACATTATGTTGCCAACTGCTACTTCACTCAAACTTGTATATATCTTGCCGTCTCGAATTGCAGCTGTTGCTGCCCGTCATTGAAACAGGAATCTTCTATGGTTACTGAAGTAGCTGATATAAACACTGACTTGACCTGAGAATGTTTACAAATACACTCTAGCTGGATGAGTCAGTATTTTTCTTTTATAGTTGTACATATATGTGAGAGAGGTATCATTTCTTTCTTTTTTTTATTTCTTTTGTAAGATTGTTGTATATTTTTAGTTGTATCATTTCTTCTACACAAATACAGGGCTGTTAAGATAACTGTTATGTATTTAGCCAGTATGTCCAGGTGTCATCAGCATAGAACAGAAATGAGGGTTCCCGTCCTGCGGTTGCTCTAATTGCTTACCATGGTAACGCTGAGTGTGACCTCCTTGGCTCCTGTTAATTGGCCCTGGGAGGGGATCTGTTTGCTGCCTCATCATGAGGCCACTGTGCCTATCTACTTTCAACCATTTAAACACACACACACACACACACACACACATTGAAAGTTTCCTCATGAAATTATGTGTCTGTGGATCGGCATTCTGCTAAGGTTCCCCAAACTATCTGTCTCTAGGGCTCCTTGTGCATTAGGAAACCTGCCCTTCCAGCAACTTCCTCACCTGGGTGCTGAAGCAACACTTGGCACTCCGGTTTCATGAAATCCCACAGATGAAGCCCTTCCCGCTTCCCTCTGCGTCATGCTGCCCTAAATGCACCCCTAAATGAGAAAACATAGCAAATCGCCCTAATACCTATAACCTGAATCTCCATAGGCACAAACAGTAATTGGATGGCACTTCTCCATTCATCTACAACCCTAAATAACGTTTCTTTCCCTTTCCCTAGAAGTAATTTCCCTGTTTCTCTCAAAACACTCATGACCTACATTTTTCCAACTGCAGGACACATTCAGATGATTTTTCTTAAAAAAAAATTAAATCAATACAGCCTACTTTTAAAAGATAAG